AAATGTTTCTCTCTATTATTGACCGTGCATATATTATTGGCATTCGTTTTAGTTTTCAACGATGAGAGGATACTCTTATCACTTGGCACTTTGCCAATTCGTTTTAGTTTTCGACGATGAGAGGACACTATCACTTTGCACTATGACGATAAAAGGAAGGTACTTGGTTCGTTCTGTGTATTGGCTGGCTCATCAGTCTATGATTGAGGTGCGCTCATCGGAGAGTACTCTTGAAAAACCTTGGTGATTTTGGGTATGGTGAAACAGTTTTAGCATGTTTACTTACCGGGATTTATAAATGAGAGTGGAGAAGGAGAGTCAAGTCCATATTTACTTTTTTTATTATTATTCTGAAATGAGAGTGAAATTAGTCGGTCCCACTCAAATTTGAGATTTAGGAATGAGATTGACACTCTTATGTCCTCCTTGGGATTAGGACTGTAGCGACCCTCTTTTGAGGCCGCCACTGTAACTAACTTTTTAATTTGTACTTACTGAAATTTCTTAAAATTTACGGAACGTTTTTTTTTTTTTTTTAAAGGTCTTATTATAAACATAAAATACGAAATTGCTTTCTTAATTAAAATATTCAAACCTTAACATATCTGTTTCATAATCATAATTAACAAAACTATTTGTAACATAAAGCTGATTGCGGAAATATTTGCGAGTGGTATCCATATCCCGAGCTCCACATCGTTCGTCCACTCGCCAGCAGTCCATCAGGCATTATATGCCGGTTGCTTACCTACAGTATAAACATTCTATAATGAGCTTTCGCTCAGCAAGTAGGAACTATCTCCCGTAAAATAACTGTAAGTTCACATGAATAAATATGCATGAGCCAATTATGCTTAATTATGATGTCTTATCAGAATCTTATTATCTTATCTTATCTTATCTTTCTTACTGATGGGCCCGAGTGCTCGTACCACTTGCGCGCAATCATCGGGACGTGAGGGTTTGCAAGGTCCCCCATGACACCGTGATTATAACTTGAATGCCTCCCTTGAGTCGGAGGACATCATTATTATTTTTTTTTTTTCTCCCTTGTGGAGCTTGAGTTACCTCCCTTGTGGAGGCTGGTACGGCACTCAACTGAGATTAGTCTTATAAGTTCCTCTTGACTTATTAAGGTGTATGCAATATGACCTAGCATAGCATACTATATCATGTACTCGAACACATATAATTCGGGTGTACTGCCTAAGTGTATGTAGTATAACATAGCATAGCATTCATAACATTAAATGTACTCAAACATATATAGTTCATGTGTACTGTTTACTTTAAAATCTATTTATACTGTAGGCGAGATTCCTACTTACTTGATTTTCAAAGCTGGAATCCCTTTTTCGCCTATCAGCCTAGTCTCTTGCTTTCTTCTGAAACTGAACACCCATTAAGAGTGTGAGATTAACTATTATTTGCTATTTTATTTTAGCAACTTATGAAGGAAAATCTAACCATTTCCATAAGGCATATATTCCTTTCCTTTACTAAAGGATAATAAAGATTAATTTATTAAATCTTCAAAATCTTATTTTCCTAGATTTCCCTTGGTATGATATTAAGGCCCAATTCGGCCTAGGACTTATACATGGCATTCTAACTTTTACGCCGCTGAAATTTATACTCCAACGGAGTCTCTTAAACTAATGTGGGCGTTGGACCCACATTAAATATTCGAAATTCTACGGACCTATCGTATTGGGCTCGTAGGTGCCCGTCGGGATAATTCGTCGGTAAACCTCTACGTTCTTTAAAGAAATCATTTTTCCTTGAAAAATTCCTTTATGAATACTTTCATTAAAATGAGGTTTAATGTCATTGTATTTTACTAAAATTCTATCTCGGGTTCTTTTATGACTTTTGTTGAAACCGCCACTGTTTTAGTTTTGTCTCGTTAAAAACTGTGCAGTTTCTGAAATCTACGTTTTACTGTATCTTAGAGTCGGATTTCAAAATTTTGTTCTTCGCGACAATTTCTCGTCTCGTCGAGATCTAAAATTGTCGTTTTTGGTGAAGATTGAAATTCGGCCTCTAAAGGCCTCGTTTGGCTGAAAACCGTAGCTGTTGTTTTGTTTTAAACTGTTTCAGTCAAAAACTGTGCCGTTTCGGGAATCTGTGTTTTAGTACCTCTTAGGGTCGGATTTTGAAAATCTTTTCTTCGTTAAATTTCTTCCTCTCGTCGAAAACTAAAATTGTCACTTTTGTGAAAAATCAAAATTCAGCCTTTAAGGGTCCCGTTTGGCTGAATTGGTGGCTGCCAGTTTTTTTTTGAAACTGTGTTGGACAGATTGTCCGTTTTTGCAAAATGACTTCAAACTTGGTTTTAGAGTTAAAATTAGGTTTAGTCATAGTAACCGAAATTGTTCAACACATCCAGGGCTATAAGTTCAAGCTTTAAAACATTGAAAAATCTCACTCTATGGCCCTCATTTTCGCGGTCAAAGTCACCGAAATTTTTTTTCCTCTAATCCGAAAATAAGCAACTTAAATCAAGCATAGACATACCACATCAAGCTAACCTCAAAACTCACAAAACCAACATAAAACTCACACACCCTTATTACAACTCATCTCCTCAAGAACCTCAAATTTACATCCACAAATCCAAGCTTAAAGTTGGCTAGAAATTAATGGAGAAGAGTTTGAGAGCTTACCCTTGAAGAACTATCTCTCTCCCTTGAAAACTTTGAACTCCTCTAAGATTTGTTATTGGCTTGGAACTAGAAAGTATAAGGAAATTTAAGAGGAATATTTCTACATTTCAAACTTTACTAAAACATAAAAAAAGGATTTAGAGTTATACCCTTTGAAAAAATGCTTGTCTAGACTCCTCCTAGACCCTTTGGTCTCCTTCTTCTTCTTCTATGGTTTGTAGTGGCTCAAGATTGGGGGAGTAGGAGAAAATATTTGAGAAAGAGTGGAGGAGTATGGTATGGCCGGATTTTGAGGGGGAGAGAAAAGCTAGGGAAAAAAATGAGGCTTATCCTATGGTGGTTCCTTTTATAGGCACTTGGAAATTATTTTTTTTAACACCACATCAACTCTCTCAATCAACCAAATTTTGGTTCAATTTTCCCCAATCTTGGCCGGTTATGGAAGGAGAAAAGGAGAAGTCAAAATTGCCATTAATTCCCCTTCAACCACTACCATCCCATCACCTTAACTTGTAGCCTTCTAACACACTCAACATATAACCAAAATTTTTGGATATAACTTCCTAAGGATGGCCGGCCAAGTGAAGAGAAAAAGGAGAAAAAAAAACTAATCATTAGTCCTATTCACCTCTCTCATCACATCTCATCAAATCACACACACTAACCTACACCTTGTACTTTTGTCCATTCCCTTAACTTACTCATTAAAACTGTCCAAACTCATACTGACAGTTATTTTCTCCTGTATACGGGTTTTGGATGCTAGGTTGTACTGTGCTGGGAGATTCTTAAAATTAAGATTCTCTAACTGTATCTATACTGGAAATTCTTCCGTTTTAAAGTACGGTGAGAATTTATCGATCGAATTTACTTGATCGGAAAAATGTGAACTTAACGTGAAATCTGCTACAGAATTTAGGAATGCAGATGTTAATTCCCTAAATCCTTCAATCACAAAATGTACATAGTATAATGATTTTTCAGGAAAATCCTTGACTTGAATACATGAATTATATTATTAAAATTATGGGATTTTTTCTTGGTCACTACACATTATCCATCTTTCTAACTCTCTCTATCCATCTTCTTATATATCTCTCTTATCAAACGAAGCCTAAACGAACACGATCACCATGGGGTTAATTGTGACCTCGATGGGTCTCGTGAGAACCAGGGGTAGTTAAGACGTCGTGGCCTTTGAAATGTTAAGTTTTAAAGTCGCTCTCCCTGAAAAACCTCTTTTTAATGATTGTTGTCTTTTTTTTCCCTTTAAAATTTAATTAGAATTAATTTTTTTTTTCCATTCAAACCAAGGATTTGACTATGGAAAGTGGGTTTTGAAAAGAAACGGCTAAATTTTCTATTGAATTTAAACAGTTCGTCGATTTGAGTTTTTAATTTGAGTTAAGGTGTGACTTCATGTGAGAGCTTTTAATTGTAGCAAAAAAATGTTCGTATTTGGAATTGATCTCGTTTTTATTTTTCACATTTTTTGAGAAAGAAAAAATGAAAACGTTTTCAAAATAGCGTTTGGCACAATAAAGATAAAAAACAGAAATAAAAATGATTTTTTAGTTTAGTGTAAAATGAGAGAGAAATGAAAAATAACTTTTAGTCGTTTTTCAAATTTTGTTTTCATTTTCTCCTCTCTCGAGCAAAGAGAGAGAAAGAGACATTAATGAGTTTTTTTAAACTGAAAATAATCTCTTGATAAAACTATCAAACGCATTTTCAAAAATGATTTCTGTCTGAGATTGAAAACGTTTTCATTTTCATTTTTATGCAAAAAATAAAATTATTTTAAAATGAGTTCCAAACACGCTTAAATGTGACTTTTTGTGAGAGATTTTAACTGTAACAAAACTTGAATTGAAAACTCAAATCGATAAAATGAAGAAACTTAAATTTTTAAGGATTTATAAGGAGGGGGTTTTTCATGATGTGAATAGCGAAAAACACAAGTAATTATCAGTATTCTGTACAGGCAAGTCAGTTGGCAATCCGAATTTTTTTTTCTTTTTCTTTTTTGAAGGACACAAGGAAACTTATCAACTCATGAATGAATGATTAAGCAAATAAACTTCAAAACATCCAAGTTAAAAAGAAAAAACAAAAAAAAGAACTGTTAATATTCCTGATCAAAAGCCTTACCTAGTATTCGAAACATGGTCTACCTTGAAATATATATATAGGAAATAGACGAATGGAAAGAAAATATTTTACTCTTATAAATATTCCAAAATATATGCGTGTGTATACTTATATATAACACGAGTTGGAATATATATGGCAAGAACTAGAGTAAGTTTGTTGTTAGGATCTAGATGTTGATACCTTTTTGGCTCTGGGCATCGCCTTCATAAGGAGAAAAACCAGCAAGAAATAATGCAAAGAAGACATACTTCAACTCCATCTGCAGAGATATCAAAATTTTCTTATTCAGCTTTTTCCACACAATATGACTTAGAAGCAAAAAGTAATTGTAAATAATAACATAAAGATCTTCCAGTTCCAGAGTTCTTCTAGCGATTCCGTACCAACAGTATTGAAGAAGTTTTGTTTTGCTTATCAAAAACAGCTGTGAAGAAAATTGAACACAAAGATGGACTTCTTAGATTGATGCGCTTTCATATATAGAAGTGATATTATTATTTTTTTTAAAAAAATAAAATTATGCATAAATATAAGTTTTATAGAAGTGATGTAAATATTACTTAAAAATGTCTTTATGAAGTACGTAAAAAAAATACAAAACTTAAAGAAAGCATGCGAAATTATTCACGGTCCCACCAAAAGTCACATCACTTTGATGTGAAAATTAATTTGAGTTAAAATATGTTTCGAAATTAAAGAAACATATTCCTTCAAAAAGGGATTTTCCAAAAAATTCACCCCTGCTTTCCTATAAAAAAATTTAAAAAAAAACCTTTGATGATGTCAGGACTCATGATTTAATGAAATTTATTTGAGCAGTATTTCTCTTCAAAAAAGAAATAACGGCTTCTTAGAGATAAAATACTCAACAAAGTTGTTGTTCTTGAAGTTAAAATGCAATGTTTCTTTTATACATGGAAAAAGTTTATTTTCACCGGTTAAAAAACAAGATTGAATAATATTATTCAAAACCAGGCAGTTGTACAAATTTAAAACTGATTTTACGATAGAATACAAATTTAAAACTGTTACTCCATAATAACCTAAGCAATACGCAAATGACTAAAATCAGCTGAAAACTGTAAAAACATGCACAACGTGAGTGGCGTGTTTGATTAATAACCTATAGTCAAGTCATTCCGAGTCCTGACCCCAAAGTTTACTCTAAGGGAAAGACCAATAACTAGGTCAAAGTATTTGGTAGAAGATTTAAGGCCAACTGGCAAAGTATTTTAATGCAAAGTCCTTGCACTTCTGTTGACTTGTGTGATGAGCTAATAATTAACGTACGAAAAATGTTAGAATTATTTTTCTGTCCTTTTCTTTTTTACTCTATATATTTTGTTAAACATAATATAATATTATTTAAATAAAAAATGAAATAATAAAATTTATATGTTAAATAATTAATACGGAAAATAAAAAAAGAGGGTATTATCACTAAAATACTAATAGTACTAAATAACTTCTCCAATTACGCATATTAAAACCTTTTGATTTTTATGCAAAACATAATCTTAAGCATATGCATTAATTAGTCTGCATATCCATGTGAAAACTCATAAATGTTCGCAACATCATCCACGATAAATCGTCAAAGAAAATATGGATAGCTTCTATTGTAGTAGGTAAGGACTTTTTGCACCATTAACGACGCTATATTTTATTTCGTGTGATCCACAGATGGATGTGAAATAAGTAAGTATGAAAATATTGATATACTTAAATTTAAGAAAATATCGATAGAAATATTAATATTAGTAAAAATTAGCATAAAATATGAAAATTCATTTTCAAATACAAATAAAATGTGATTTTAAGAAACTCTAAAATAGCTAATAATGCGTAATGTAGATGAAATTCTCAATCAAGATATCAATTGTATGATAAATATGCATGCTAATTCGTGATCAAAATCAACCTATTCTGATAGGATTGTACAAAAAAAACCGTAAAACTGAAACCGACCACAACCGACCGAAGAACTGACCGTTCAAAAGCCAAAAACGTCGGTGTCACGTGGAACTGAACATAATCAGTTCGGTTAACCGACCGAACTGCCTCAAAATCAGTTCGGTTTTGGTTTTGCGTTTAGAGGTTCGATTAAAAACTGAACCGATCGAGATGGAGAAATTTTTTTTTTATGTTGTCTTTTTTTTTGTTTTTAAGTCTATGTTGTCGTTTTCACTCCTAATTGTCATTTTTACAAGTCACAACACACACAAACTCCTTCATTTCTCTCTGTCTCTCTCAGTCTCACCCTCACCTCCTTCATTTAGCAAATTGAAACTCTTTCTCTTGTGTTATTTTCATGCTATCTGCAGTTTTTGCTTTATTTATTCTAACACACACACATAGACTAGTTATTCAGTCCATGATGGATATCCTCATAATAACCAATTTGTTGAGATCTATTTTCTTTCATCATATAGACTATTTTTCTGATCTTCCAGTAAGAAATGGCATTGGGCGTTCTTTGAATTCTCAAATGCTATTTTTCTGGAATTTTAGATTCCTCTGAATTGCCTGGAATTCTTTGTTTTCTGTAACCGTTCCTCCTGTTTTTATGACTTAATTATGAATAGGATATTTATGCTTTATTTTGGCTGCCACCGTGTGAGCATATTCATTTTGGCTGCCTAGGCTATATATATAAATATATATATATATTCAATATTCATAAGAATTGGAAAGTTAAAACTTAAAATCTCTAGTGTCATCTTTGGTACGAACAAATTCACACCCCTAGTTGAGCATATTCTCTAGTGTCAATATTCATAAGAATTGCCACCTACTGTGAGCATATTCATTTTGGCTGACGATATAATGGATTTGGATTCGGGTGAAGATAAAAGAGAATAAGAGGTTTATGAGAATTTAGAAATGAATTTCACTATTTAAAGTTAGAACTTTTTAATTATGCTTTGGACTTTTTAATTTCTTATGACAATTTAAATGTTTTTTACACTTGTGTTTGTGCAATTATCAATTTTGATGTTGTGCTTTATATTTATTTATTGTGATTACATGTTTGCAACTTTGTATTGAAAGAAAGTTTTACATTTTTTCATATTTTTTGGTCAAAAATGCAACTAAAGATGCTGGAAATCTGATGGTTAACTGAGGTCACCTTCCTAATTACCAAAATTAAAAAACCGACCAAAACCGACCGAAACCGAACCGAAACCGAAGTTTGGTTAACTGAACCGAATACTGCTACATGCAGTTCGGTTTTGGTTCCCACTTTCAAAAAACTGACATGGTCGGTTCGGCCACCAAATTGACCAAAACTGACAGTTTTTAACCGACGAACACCCCTATGATCTGCTACATCGTGTTCGGGTAGTAGCTTATAATTATGAAAATGCTTACGGCCATAGGCCACCATTGGTGCTAAGCACCGTTACTATTAGAAAGTGACTCCACATGTGGATCATACGTCACGGAATCCATTTTCTATAAGTAGGTAGTGTTAAACACTATCGGTGCCTTATAATATTATAACCACTCTACTGATAAGATTTTCGTAAAAACAAAAAAAAATCCACCAATCGCCATGGTCTGATAAGTATACAAAAAGATCAATAACATGACCCACGAGTCATCAAGTTGATTGCGATTCCTATGTTAGAGACAAGGAGGGAAATAACATATTTGGTAGAGTATTTAGTAAATTATAGTATATATTTTAACATAGTAGATTATAACATTAATTTGATATTTTAAGTTTTAAACATTATTGAAACCCAAAAAATACCTCTAAGCCTCATTTCCACCTTTCTCTCCTCCCCCCTATGGTCAAGTCCACCATAGTAGGCTCCAGTGACCAACTGTCGGCTCTGGTGACAAGCGTCGACGGCCGGTTTCCGGGAGCTAGTAAATATCGTATTTAGTAATAAATAATGTATTTATCGATAAATATCGTATTTACAAGCAAATAACATATTTATT